CCTGGTGAAAACCTTTTGCACCTTTTTAAATTGTTATGTAAAATATTAGTCAAAGGAATCAGGAAAAATATTAAACAATTTAATATTTTGATAAAAATATTCGATTTACTATTTCTTAAGGTGTTTGCATGGATTTTGTTTTCTCAACAGCGGCTGGGCGTACGCACTATATTTTTACTCGTAAACTCAATTTGGAGGTGAAGAAGCAGCATTTCCCATTGCTCACCGTCGCAATAGCCGGGCATTGCTCTACGAGCAATGAGCCCGGCTAAAAAAGGAAAACCAGAAGAAAAAAGGTGTCTGTATAGATGAAAAACACAACCCATTAATTTGTTTTTGAACGACCCCATACGTTTCTTTCTTTCTCCCTTGCATTTCGACTATACAGAAAAAAAGATCACTAGAACCTTTGGTTATATTAAAAGAAAGGTGTTGGACCTTCAAACGGCACTATATCCGAACATCTATTATACAGCCTATCAAATATCACGGCATCAATAAAAGAATTATTTAGATATTTCAAAAACTACTAATTTCATTCTAATAAAAGCCACGCAGCTGTATACAGACATTCCAAAATAATGTTTCATGGAGCGACAGGTTGTTAAATTCCTCTCATCACTATAAGTACCCCATCCCTTAAAATGAATAAAAATGTCCTTCCGTCTCTCCTTCTGTCACACTTTTCCTTAAGCTCAGTTCAAAGCTCAGTCTCAAACAAACTATCCAAGATAATTTTATCAATCTTTATATACTGAAAGAAATTAATTAGAGTTATGCAATTGCATTAACATTTTTTAAACTAAACTTTATATACATGTATATACCTCACTTTTCTTAAATTAGTGTTTAGCTCAGTTTTAAAAATACCATTTAAAATGGTGTTATCAAACTTCACATGTTGATGCATATTGATGAGACCTATTTAATGGCATCACCATTTTTGAACTTGGCCTTTCTTTCGACCTTGACCTAACTCTTTTTATCTCAATTTTAGCTCTATCGAGAGTTAGTTATTGCTTAGCACAAGGTCATTTGGAAAGATCAAGGTCACACATACAAGTATTCCTTTACAGTCTTTTTCCTAGCGAAACATTGTAAGTTGCTTCTCTAAGTTCTCTTACAAGGTTTTTTACTTGTATATCTCTAGTATGTGGCTTTTGACTTCGACTCAAGGTTACGTCTTCTAGTTCGTAGCTCCAACGGAAGACCTATTCGTTGCTTTGCAACGAGCTCGGCTCTAGTTCTATTTTATTGCCACAACTTTTGTTCATATTCAACCCATTTAATGCAATCAATTCATTCTTTGTATATGCTGTATGCACAAAATCCTCATGCATCACCTTTCAATCAAAATCCCATCATGCTAGGTGACCTTGAAAGTCTTTACGCGGAAAGAATTTCTCTTGTGATTTGAGCTATGACCCTCATATTTCACATGTGTAATCCTTGTGACAAGATCTTTCTTTGGGTACCACCAAATCTGACCTTTTGACCTTGACCTTGGAGTTTGACTCACTTTTACACAAAAATTCCAAACTTTTACTTTGGCCATAACTTTTAAATGGTAGATACTAGGACTTTCTTATCTCATTGGATACCAACAACTTTGACCTTACCTTGGAGATTTTCGGACTCATGGAAAAACTTTAACCTTGTTCATAAATTTGAATGGTAAGGGCTAGAGCTTTCATACTTCACATATTTAATCCTTGTGAGAAGACCTTTCATTGGATACCAAGAACTTTGGCCCTTTGACCTTGATCTTGGAGTTTGACCTACTTTTAAAAAACAAACCTTGACCATAACTTTTGAAGGGTTAGGGCTAAGGCTTTCATACTTTACATATTTAATCCTTGTGGCAGGACCTTTCATTGGATATCAAGAATTTTGACCCTTTGACTTTGGAGTTTGATCTACTTTTAAAAAACTTTAACCTTGGGCATAACTTTTGAATGGTTAGAGTTAGGGTTTTCATCCTTCACATATGTATTACTTGTGACAAGACCTTTCTTTAGAAACCAACAACTTAGACCCTTTGACCTTGGAGTTTGACCTACCTTTCAAAAATTTATCCTTGGCCATAACTTTTGAACAGGTGGCAAACACATCTTGTTCCTTATATTGTGAAAAGAAAGGGCTTTCATATTTGACATGTGCATTACCTGTGACAATATTTCTGAGCATGCTATGATTTCTGACCCCTTGACCTTTACGATTGACCTTATTTTAAAATGACATATGATAGGGCGTTCATATTTGAGCAGGCACAATATGTCAAAAAAAGACATCTCACCCACAAAGACACCAAAAGTGGGGGACCACAATTCTTTGAATTTGCTTGTTGCTTATTATACTTTAGATGATCTGTTTCTATTTTACTTGAAAGATAAGAGAATGAATGTGCACATTTAACTATAAAGAACAAGGTTCACTTTTGCCTTATTTGGCCCTGTGAATTTCTGAAAAACTGAAACTGCAAAGTTTTAGTTAACAATGCATTAAATATCACTGAGATCTTTGGTGACTGCGTATCTATCAAAAATGACGTCATTTTCTGGCTAGTCAATGCATTATGACGTCATGAAATGCATCAATTTCCTTATATTCTTAAAAAGTGTACAAAAACGGCCAATTTTGAAAGCTATTCTTTCATATTTAATATATAGCACAACCTCTGATCTAAAATATGTAAATAGTAAATGATAGAACTCTTTCTGAGGATTAATGGACATGTTTTATTTTTTAGATCAGAGAGTGCGCTCATATAATTTTTCTTCACTGAAAGTACTAAATTATACCTGTTTACCTAGAAATTCAAGAACATTGCAATTTCATAAAGCCAGTTCTCCAAGACTTGGACTTTTAGGACTTTTTTAATAGGATATGAAAGCACCAAGTGTCTATTTTATTTTAATGCTTCAAATAGAAAATCAAGTGTTGATCAATTAATTGGTGTATCTACATGAAGGGCCATTTTATGCATAAAGTGAACCGACTTCTTTGTCAGCATTTTGAAATATTGGAAAAAGCTTAGTTTTCAACCCATATGAACATACAGGCCTAAAAGGTATAAATAAGTTTTAAAAATATTTAAAACACTGTATGTAGAAAATCCAATGATATGTATTCATCAAAGACCACATTTTTAAAAGCATTTAAAGGTACTTGGACACAGATTTGAAGGTAATTTTTTTGTATAATATTACGACTTATATATTTTAATAGCATTTCACACAAAAATTAATAAAAAAATCTTGTTTTGTTTAAAAGTTATTAAAACTTCAAATTTTTTGGCGGGTTTGATTGACACATCCATGCACTTTCACAAATTTTAAGTAATACTTAGGAAAAGTGGCAATCTTGTTGTGTAAAAATGAAAAAAATTAATACTATAATCCAGAAAAATCAGAGTAGACATGTTCCATAGCAAAGCAAACACACAGTATATTCTCAGTCCGTGCAGTTGTGGTGAGCAGACTTTGACAATTGAACGCACCTGTAAATCGTAAACAATCAACAATAACAGAGCTCTTGCCCTGTTTACAAAAACTGTGTACATAACACGAGTGTGATCGATTTGCACACGAGACTTAGTTCGGAATGACGGTACTTGTGAAGGAATTTTGCTTTGTAACATTTCTACTCTGAATAAAATTGTTTTTCTGGATTAAAGTTTTGATATTTCTCATTAATACACAAAAAGATTGCCACTTTTCCGAAGGTTTAAGAATAAAGTTAAAATTTGTGAAAGTGCAAGGATGTGTCAATCAAACACGCCAAAAACTTTGAAGTTTTAATAACTTTTAAATAAAAAAAGATTTTTAATTAATTTTTGTGTGAAATGCTTTTAAAATATATAATTAGTGATTTTATACAGAAAATATTAACTTCAAATCTATAAGTAGAAATGGAAGAATCTATAAATAGATCACTAAATTTTTGCGACACCTTATTTTCGCAAGATAGTCATTGTCTTTTGATTAGCGAGACAAAATTTTCACGAATTGTGGTTACTGCTCTATATATTCTTAAGGAATGCTACTATATGCGAGAATTAAATTTTCGCAAGCACACTGTCTCGCGTAATTACCTGAAAATAAAGTTCTTGCGAATGAAAGGTGATTTACAGTATCTAGAACTTTCAACAAAGAGTGAGATCAGACATAAACGGAAAGGACTTGTACATATGGTTTTTTTAATCAATGACCAGGACTTATTTCTTTTATATTACCTAAATCGAGTTTTGATTGAATAATTCATTAATGACGTTTTATGAAATAAATAAGCACTTGCTTGTTGTCAGTTTTATTATAAAATGCCAGTAACGTACATGTAGATCTACAAACAGGAACCACATCTTTACTCTCTTTTATGATATTTTTAGACAACCGATAATGAAAGAAGACTTTTAATTAAATTAACGATAATTACTATGTGAATGAAATCTGAATATAGTTTATGGACATCACCTAATACCTGGTGTATTCCTACAGGCTTAACTAAAAACTTTCGTGCAGTCGTTTTGGAGTTTATTTGCAAAATTTGTTAATTTATAAGTATAGATAATACCGGTATATAAAAGTATATCGGGATTGGATCCCACAACGGATCATGTAGAGTGTAAAGACTTTTAAACATGTATTAACACGTAAAATGATAAATAATTATTTCTAATGAATTGATTTCAACTTAATTCTTCATTTTAGGGTTAGGAATCATATTTTTTGGTTGACAGACTCTATTGCAGTCTCATACTATGTGTGGATGATTTTTGTGTAGTAATGAACTATCATGCTAGATTTTTGTAGGGGGGCAAGAAATCTGTATATGCTAGTAGCATACAAATAGCTGACCACTCTTAGATTTAGTTACATCTTTAAAGAAGGTAAAAGCAGGCAACACATACATTACTTGGAACACTCTAGTTTACCTGGGGTGCATCCATTCATTGGAAAACTCTTGCAATGACTAATGTTGATATTTTTTTCTTTGTACAGATGAGCATAAAAAGAGAGACAAATCAGAGACCCCACACATAATAAGACTGCCCAGGGATCTACCTCACTTTAGAAAACTCAGTACTAATGAGGAAAGTCAGTCTGAGCAAAGCCCTACTCCTCACTACTCACGGAAATTAAGCACAGACTATGAACTTCGACCTTATGATACAATTGAAATGGATTTGCCACAGAAAAACTCCCTTATGAATGTGACAGAAGGTGAAATATTGGATTTAAAGCCAGATAAACCTATATTGACAAAACAGACTGATGCACTTGATTGTTTATTTGGATCTTGCACTAGTAAGAGTTCAACAGCCACACCAATACCAAATCCATTTCCTAACACACAGACTTCTGATCCATTTAGTTTTGTAGAAGGATACATGGCTCAGGAGAAATGTGGAACACAAATTGCTCAGCTTTCAAAGACTTGTGATAAAATTAAAATCGATCCTGAAAGTGAAAACATGAAAGGACCAAAATATACAAGTGTAATAAATCTAGATGAAACAAGAAGTGTTAGAAACTCTCCAAGAAACAAACTGGCACAAACTCACAGTGACACAAGAGATCAGAGGGTTAGAAGAAGTCAAAGGTCTAGGTCACGAGAAAACAAAGTTACTCAAGATGATAATTGTGGAATGGACACTAATGGAGAAGTGACAATGGTAACAAATGACCCATCTGAGGAAGGAACAAATCAAAAAACCAAGGAGGAAGGTTTTGAAATATCTTCTTCACCCGTGTATTAATTTGTTGGTGCTTGTGATGTGAAACTTTGAATAGTTTTAGAAAAATTCTTGTTTGTTTTTCATAAATCATACTGGATTAACTGAAAAACAAATGGAGCTATTAAATTGTATACTGTTAATAAAGGAGTAATCTGTTTTATATTGATACTGAATATCATCAGAAAACCTACATAGTAAATAGTTTACACATTTTAACCATTGAACAAGAGGCCCATGGGCCTTATAGGTCACCTGAGTATCATGTAACAATTTAACTTTCTAAGAGCTCTCCCCACAGGAACAGGGGCCTGACACTGGAGCCACATATTTCACAATTCTGGAAAAGACACCCTTGCTCATCATAAATGTTTGATTAATACCAATAAAAAGCAGATAGCATTAATTCATTTTCAGCATATAATCAGTAGAGCACACACCAGGCACCCATGGGCATTATAATTCACAATTCTGGAAAAAGCACCTGTAAGCTTCCTCATCATAACTATGTATTTAAATCATCAGCATAATCCCCAGTTACAAAAGAGACTTTCAAAGAATTAATGCATTATCATTGGAGCCTGCCCTAACACCAGAAACCCTGACCAGGGGGGCCATGAATTTCACAATATTGGAAGAGGCACCTTTCTTCATCATGCCTATGTAAATAGTTCATTGGTTTAATACTCAGGAATATAGGAGAAGATTTTCAAAGAATTAATGCATTTTCACTCTACATTAACACCAGAATCCCTGACCCAGGGCCATGAAATTCAATTTTGGAGGAGGCAACCTTCCTCATCATATCTATGTACATAGTTCATCAGCTTAATACCCAGGAGCAGAAAAGCAGATTTCAAAGATTTTCAAAGTAAACTCAGGTGACCGAAAAATATTTTTTTGGGTGAATTCAAAATCAATGACCAGCAAACTGAAATTTTCACTTGTATCATCATATTGCACATCCATTTCAGTTTAAAATCCAGAAGTGGCAAAAGAATAGACAATTTGATAAATTCAGAATATTTATCAGTAAAATTTAGTTTGATAAGAAAATATCATTACACCTTAAAAGACTTTTTAAAATACATAATTACAAGAAATTATATTTTTAGCTCTACTGGTTAGAGACCAGAAGAGCTTATGCGATTGTAATGCGTCCATCGTCTCAGGTGACCTATTGCTATCCGTTTTCATTCGTCATCGTCCGTTGTGTGTCGTGTGTTAACATTTGATTATATTCAGCTTCTTCTCTGAAACCACTGAACCAATTTCAACCAAATTTGGTATACAGCATCTATGGGTGAAGGGGAAGAAAAATTGTGAATTTCATGGTCCCCGCCCCCCTGGGTCCTGAGGGGTGGGGCCAAAACCACTAAAATTATTGCAATCTTTAAAAATCTTCTTTACTCCTGGACATCAAGGAGGCAAACTGTTGGCATAAATGTAATAAGCATTGAGTCCTCTACCAAAATTGTAAAATTCATGGCCCCAGGGTCGGGGTCTAGTGCTAGGGCGGGGCTATACAGATTATATAGTGAAAATGCATTATTTCTTTGAAAATCTTCTTCTCTGCTCCTGGGTATTAGATAAACTAACTAAGTACATAGTCATGATGAGCAAGAGTGCCTTTTCCAAAATTTTTAAGTTTATGGCCCCAGGGTCAGGGGTTTTGGTGTTAGGGCGGGGCTCTATTTATTTTATAGTGAAAATGCATTTATTCTTCGAAAATCTTCTTGACTGCTTCTGGGTATTAAATAAACTTACTAAGTACATAGTTATGATGAGCAAGAGTGCCTTTTCCAGAATTGTGAATTTTACGGCCCCAGGGTCAGGGGTTCTGGTGTTAGGGCAGGTCTCTATTGATTATATAGTGAAAATGCATTCTTTGAAAGTCTCCTCTGCTTCTGGGTATTAAATAAACTTACTAAGTACATAGTTATGATAAGCAAGAGTGCCTCTTCTGAAATTATGAATTTTATGGCCCCAGGGTCAGAGGTTCTGGTGTTAAGGTGAGCTCTTTTGATCATATAGTGAAAATGCATTAATTCTTTGAAAATCTTCATCTCTGCTTCTGGGTATTAAACTAACTAAGCACATCGTTATGATAAGCAAGAGTGCCTCTTCTAAAATTGTGAATTTTATGGCCCCAGGGTTAGGGGTTTTGGTGTTAGGGCTGGCCTTTATTGATTATATAGTAAAAATATATAAATTCTTTGAAAATATTTTCCTTTGTTTCTGGGTTTTATACCAATGAACCAAGTATACATATTTATGATGAAGAAAGGTGCATCTAGCAAAGTGGTTTTTTTTATGCCCCCTGGGTCAGAGGGGTGGGGGTGGGGGTTACATAGTCTGAAAATAAATTAATGCTTTGAAATCTGCTCTTTGGTATTAATCAACCATTTTATGATGAAATTTGCAAAATTTTGAAATATGTGGCCCCTGGGTCAGTGGTTCCTTTGGAGAGAGGTGCACAACTGGGTATAAAGTGGAAGTGCATTTTCTCTTAGTTACTCTGATCTACCTCTGGGTATTAAGTAAATGGAGTAAGCATGCTAAGTTAATGAATATGATACAGGGACGTAGCAGCAGGGGGGGCCTGCCCCCCCCCCACTTTTTTTGCCAACAATACTTTTACTATTGAAAATGTTCATTGAAAGGCTGTTTGCCCCCCCCCCCACTTTATAATAAGGTAAAGTAGGATGAAAGAAATATACTGTTGTATGCTTAAAAAATGGATATGGAAAGGAATTGTTATTGAGAAAAGTTTGCCTCCCCCCCCCCCCCCCCCCCCCCCTACGAAATAGGATTTTCGAGTTTGGTCAATTTTCCTTTTTTTTGCTTGTCAACTTTTTCAGGTAAGTAAAAAAAAAATTCTGTGGCTGGCACCCCCCACTTTCAAAATCGATCCTACGCGCCTGTGATAAGCAATGGTCCTCTTTCAAAATTGTGAATTGTGAATTTCATGGCCTCTGGTTTAAAACACGAACCAAATTTAATTGTTTGAAAGTTGTTGCACAATACTCAGGTGACCTATAAGACCCGTGGGCCTCTTGTTGAAAATGCTACTCCTCCTGCAGTTTTGGTCTGATTTCAATATAACTTGCCACACAAGTAGACTACTCTAAGATACATAATTCTGTTTTTTCGGTTTTTGATTTCACTGAATAGTGTTGCCTTGGTTACTAAAAATAGAAATTTCTGTGAAAATCATTCAAAATGCTACTCCTCCTACAGTTTTGGTCTGATTTCAATATAACTTGCAATTGCCACACAAGTAGTACACTAAGATACATAATTCTGTGTATCAGTTTTTGATTTCGATGAATGGTGTTGCTGTGGTTACGAAAAATAGAATTTTTTTTTAATACATTCAAAATGCTATTCCTTCTACAATTTTGGTTTGATTTTAATATTACTTGGCACACAAGTAGACTACACCAAGATACAAAATTCTGTGGATCGGTTTTTAATTTTGATTAATATGAAAAATTAATGGCAATTTTTAAAATCTTCTTCTCAAGAACCACCATGCCAGGAAAGATGAAACTTATGTGAAAACATCCTCAGATAGTGTAGATTCAAGTTTGTTCAAATCATGACCCCTGGGGGTAGGTCGGGGCCACAATGGCCAATCAAAGTTTTACATATGGAAAAAAATATTTAAAAATCTTTTTCTTGAGAACAGCAAAGCCATGATTGGTCAAAATATTTATATGGAAGCATCCTCAGGTTGTGTAGATTTAAATTTGTTCAAATCATGACCCCCGGGAGTAGGAAAGGGCCACAATGGCCAATCAAATTTTTACATAGGAATATATATAGGAAAAAAATCTTTACAAATCTTCTTCTTGAGAACAGCAAAGCCATGATTGATCACATTTATTTAGAAGCATCCTCAGGTTGTGTAGATTCAATTTTTTTCAAATCATGACCCCCGGGGGTAAGGCGGGGCCACAATGGCCAAAGTTTTACATAGGAATATATAGGAAAAAAATCTTTAAAAATCTTCTTCTCAAGAAAACTAAAGCCATAATTCATCATATTTATATGGAAGCATCCTCAGATAGTGTAGATTCAAGTTTGTTCAAATCATGACTCCCGGGGGTAGGACGGGGCCAAAATGGCGGACCAAAGTTTTACATAGAAATATATAGGAAAATTCTTTAAAAATCTTCTCAAGAATAGCAAAGCCATAATTCATCATATTTATACGGAATCATGCTCAGGTAGTGTAGATTCAAGTTTGTTCAAATCATGACCCTCGGGGGTAGGGCGGCGCCAAAATGGCCAACCAAAGTTTTTCATTGAAATATTTAGGAAAATTCTTTAAAAATCTTCTTCTCAATAAGAGTAATGCCATAATTCAGCATATTTACATGGAAGCATCCTCAGATAGTGTAGATTCAAGTTTGTTCAAATCATGACTCCCGGGGGTGGGACGGGGCGGAAATGGCGGACAAAAGTTTTACATAGAAATATATAGGAAAATTCTTTAAAAATCTTCTTCTCAAGAATAGCAAAGCCATAATTCATCATATTTATATGGAATCATGCTCAGGTAGTGTAGATTCAAATTTCTTCAAATCATGACCCTCGGGGGTAGGGCGAGGCCACAATGGCTGATCAAAGTTTTACATAGGAATATATAGGAAAAATCTTCTTGAGAACAGCAAAGCCATGATTGGTCATATTTATATGGAAGCATCCTCAGGTTGTGTAGATTCAAATTTGTTCAAACCAAGACCCCCGGGGGTAGGGTTGGGCCACAATGGACGATCTAAGTTTTACATTTGAATATATAGGGAAAAATCTTTAAAAATCTTCTTCTTGAGAATAACAAAGCCATGATTGGTCACAATTATATTTTTAGCTCACCTGAGCCAAAGGGGGTCTGGATTTGAACAAACTTGAATCTACACTACCTGAGCATGATTCCATATAAATTTGATGAATTATGGCTTTGCTATTCTTAAGAAGAAGATTTTTAAAGAATTTTCCTATATATTTCTATGTAAAACTTTGGTCGGCCATTTTGGCCCCGCCCTACCCCTGAGGGTCATGATTTGAACAAATTTGAATCTACACTACCTGAGCATGATTCCATATAAATATGATGAATTATGGCTTTGCTATTCTTGAGAAGAAATTTTTAAAGAA